TGTTTAACTTATTTGTTTTTTTATGTTGCATTTTTTTCTTCTTCTTATTTTTATTGACTGTGATTTTTACATCATTTAATGAAATAAATAAAAATACGATGTTTTATTTTAATGCATTAGCGATATTTCTCATCAACGGCTTCGTCTCCTCTTTCATTTTTTCTTTCTAGTCACACATGAACAACTTTTTATTTTGTGAACGTGTTTCGTCTTAATTGTCTCTTTCATCAGCTACCTCTTCATGGTATTGCTTTCTTCTATTCATTATTATTTACATTGCCGATGATAGTCACCACGTCAATATATTTTTATCTGTCTCTTGCTCTCCTTGTTGAGACAATGGATAAGCGACGTGCTTTTGATTTGAAAAGGATAAAGAAAAATGCTCAGCAGCAAAATAAACGCGATAACTGCATGATTGTTGAATAAAAGATTTTTGCTGATTATCGACACACACATAAAAATAGAAGACAAAGAGAAAATGATTATTGGAATGCATATATGGCTTAAGACTTCATATACGTAGAAAGACGTCACTAGAAAAAATATGCATGATTTTACTTCAAATTTGCGACGAAATATATTTTTGTCTATGAGAAAAAAATCACTCTCTGTAGGCTAAAAATAAAATATCTCTCGCAGCGAGCAAAAAATAAAGTTATATCTTTACCAGTCAAAAATAAATATATCGTTCTGTAAGAGCAGAAAGTAGGCGTCTCTCCTTATGCAAGCAAAGAACTACCTCTCTCTCTCGCCCCCAATAAAAAAAATACTGTAGTGTTAATTCTTTTTGGTAGGGTGTCAAAGAATAAAGAAAATGAACACACAACTGTACGATTGTATTAGTTACATATTTGTTTATAAACAAGTATCACTTTCTTTTCAAGCGTAAAAAGGTAAGCAGTGACCATGAAACATATTAGTACAATGGGATGTTCGCCCATTGTTATGATGATCTTGGTAACAATGTACATGATGCAATCGGCTACAATCGACAACACTGTTTTTAGACGCTTGTTAGGCTATTGAGTAATTACATGAATGTTGAGAGTCTAGCACATCGGCAAATTATTGCGCTAAGTCATTTGAAAGGAAGAAAGAGAAGACAATATCAATTAGTCATTTGATTCACATTAGACTTCATCAAGACCAGCTTTAGTTCAAATCTGAGAAACTGTTCAAAATGCTCTCAGATAGAATTTGATTCAAAGAACAAATGACAGGATATAGAAGTTATGGGTATCCGTCATTGCCTCATTGATCTGATCTGTTCAAACACATCCTCTGATCGAAACTGGACTTCTAGTGCAGATCAGTTCTATGAACTGACTGAACCGAGACTGGTTAGCTACCTATCGCTAATTTTTCACTGTTACTCGAGGATGATTCAGAAAACTTCTCTGTATCTATCTAAGAGTGAGTAGTCCCTCTAATAGTTCAAAGCTAATCCAAAGATGATCAATGAATTTTGAAGTACCATTCGTGAGTGGCTCCTTTGAGGTTTTTGGAAGATACTCAACGGTAATCTTTATAACTGTTGAGGAGTTAACTTAGGAAATATTCTTATAAACATTTTGTGGGTATGGGTGTGGAGCTGTGACTGTATGTGGCAGTAAGTGTCGATGTGCATGTTGACGAGTGAGTACGGGTACAAGTGCCAAGTCCCATCCAAACATCCTTCCACGTACCAATACCAAATCCATAAACTTGCTCACTCTGACACGAACACATTCAGTTACATCGACAGGTGTTTGACGTCTAGTCGATCACATCGTGTGCTTTTCAAAGTCGCCTAAGAAAATGCATTTGAACGATATGGCATGATCGATGTGGATGTGAAACATATTTAAAAACATTGATTGTCATTTTCTGAGAGATGAGGTTCTCTGAGTATAATGTGAACGTATTTGTCTAAAGATTTTGCCATTGCAGCAATACATCTATCTACCACCGACAAAATTAAGGCTACACGTATTTTTTATAGATATTTTCATTAATGTTCAATCACGAAAAATATAAGTTTTTCAGAAATTTTGTGTGGGTGCATATGTGGGCGTGGGTGGGTGTGGGTATAAAATATGTCCAAATCCACACCCCCCTTGAGAATTTTCTAAATATGTTCAATAAATATTAGAAGCTAACAGATGTTCCTACAAGTTTGTATGGATGATCGGGCGTATGGAGAACATTGAAAAGTGTAATATGTAAAGTTTCTTCAGTCTACGAAAAGTTTTCATCCCACAATTTGGATTCTAAAAATTTTTGTTTATTTTCCTTTACTTCCGAATCTGTACCCATCAGGTATGTCTCACATACTATGGCAGTTCAGTACTTGGCAAATGATTAAATTCACTTGTTATATTTGCATCAATCCTCAACAATGGGATTATCTTCTGATCTGAAAATAAAATTCTATGGAATCGATGGCAAGTAAAAGAGAAACTGGGTAAGGATACTTTTGCATTTTATATATATATCCTTATTCAATTCTTTCATTTACTACAAATGCTTCTCTCATTCTAATATTAGTGCATTAAAATATATGTCGTCCATTATTACTGTACTCGTTGATAATTGGGGTCGTTGAAAATGGTAAAAAGTGCTTTGGTGATAACTAATCAGAGGAAGAAACATATTGAAAAGAGCATTAGTAGCACAGAAAGTTCTGAAAAACCACAACTTGTAGCTCGCATGTCAAAAGTTATTTCAACTTATCGTCGATGTGCTTATTTTCGCACAACACAACAAGAGAACAGGACAAATATAATATGTAACTTTTGTTGTATTAGTCTTTGTATAAAAAAAATGTTTTTTGTTGTATCACAAAAATTACGCGTATTAGTAATGAAATAAATAAATGTTTCAGTAATTATAATAGCGATGTTTTATTAAAATGCAACAATAACAAAAATTTTTTAACCTTCATATGGTCACATGCTTTCTTAGTTATAATTTAACCACATACTTCATAATGTTATCTAGTCAGTTTACACTATGTTTCATCAAATTCGGTTAAGTAGAAAAAATTCAGGATACCAGATGATAGTTAAATGCTAAAACATAAAAATACCTTTTAAAAAAAACTGTTTTCAGCAAGGAAGCATAAATTATGGTCGTATAAGATCATATACAATCTTAGAAGATTCTGATCATCAGACTTTGTGAGAACCTTGAAACAGGAATCTTACAAGATATTAACTCTTACAATTAGATACTCGTACGTCTTCATAAGATCTAACAGTATCAGTCTTACAATATTCAATTGTCAGTAAGATCTTTTATGTTTTTCGTAAGGCTCTTTGCATCTGAGCGTATATTTCGTCATTGGCACACGTTGTAAACTGAATCGGCATATCAAATACTCAATCCGAGTCTTACGTAAATGGGTCTTAGAGATCCTAGCTTCGAGAAAGTGTAGCTATTTTGAATAAACAATTCATTAATCGATAGAAACAAGTGATGCGTATTGATTAAGGTATAGTTGAACTTTGCTACAAAATGCAAAGGGAGTTTGAAAATGAAATATGGGAGGCTGGTCTTATACCTAATTGGTTTTAGAGACTCTAGCATTCTTAAAGTATTGCATAATACAATACATTGTGCATCACTCATTAGAACTGATCGAGATGTATCGGATGTTGCGTGCTTTGTTCATGACACATGGTGTAGGATAAGTTTTATGAGGACACATTCCAACATGACGTATATATTCAAGTTTCGTTTTGGTGGTTGAAAAATGAATATCAATCGATAGCGCACGTGAAAGTGAACCAAATACAAACATTTTTGCATGTTGTACAAGTCGTATAATGAATCGTCAGATGATATGCCTTGTAGAATCTTTTTTTGATGCGTTTCAGAAAACTGAAGGTTTGATGAGTCTTATTGAATACGATGTTATTAACACTGTCAGATGGAGCTCGTCGAGCTGGATCGAAAGATGTAAATTTTAAAAATGACACTAGCTGTGAATCGAATATTTCAAGAGAATATCAATTTTTTTTATTTATCGCTTTGATGAAAAAAAAATTTTATTCATATCATGTTGTTTTTATCTTTTCCTTAAATTCAAACATACCATTCGATAGATCTCTCCGAACTCTGTCTGACACACTTAACGGGCTCATTGTTTTGAAAAAATCGAATCAGTCGCTAACTTCTTTACATAAAAGAAGATACTTTTTCGTTTAGAGTATCTTTTTTTATTTATCAAACGTGTATTTTATTTCAGCTTGCTAAACACATGATATAAAAAATAACTAAAGACATATATGAGAAATCTTTTTGTTTGATATCATTTATGAAGATTTTTTCTACCAATTATCAATAAAATTAGTTAATAACTTATTATAAGTTGAGCACTATTTGGTTTATCACCGAGATTCTGTAGCTAAAATGTTATACGATATAGTTGTCCGACTTTTGTATCAAGTACTTGTCTAAGAGGTAATCAGATCGATCTAGAGCACCATCAAAAAACGAACGTTTGCTACTATAAATATGTACAGACGCTAAAACTGATGATATGAAACTATATCCATATGAGTTATAGCGAAAAAATCCATCTGGTGGATTATTTTCGAAATGCCAATTTGTCACCAGTTCTACGTTTGAAGACGTATCTATAACAGACACATCACCAAGACACCAGTAGGATGAATTATGTCGAAAAGAAAAAGTGATAATTGTTCGAGTAGAAACAGTCTTATATAGTTCCGAATAATACGTACAATTAAAACTTTTTATATTAGTCCAAGAGAACAGTGGAACAATCTTTGATAGAGTACAATTATTTGATAACTTATAAGTTGCCAAAGACTGAATATGATGATTAGCATATTCGATAGAAGTAAAGACTAGAAATAAATTTAATAAAAATAAAAGATTAATGAAATTTTGTTTTATAGATATTCAAAAATGATCTTATATACTACAGATCAATATGATTTGACCTTATATAAGCTCAAATCAACATAAACAAAAAAATATTATTTAAATATCTATGAAGCTGTAAAAATATAATGAAACTTTTTTTCTTATGAAAATATTGTTGATCAGACCATATCTTACTTTCAGAGATGGGATTAGATCGAAGAATAACGAATATGACTACTGTTGCAGCTATGAGAGTACTGGCAATCAGAATAGTAGCCATAGTCGTCAGTAATATACGTTTGACATTACAGTATTGTTTGCGAGATGTTGATTGGTTAGTATGTATTTCTAATTGACCCATTGATATAGATGGTAATGATATTGTACTATTTTTGCATAAATATCTTACAGAGTTAGTTTCATAAGGTTGACGTAATTGTTTAATTTGTTCTTCTGAACGAAGATCATTGACATTCAGAGGTTGTCGTGTTAAAGCACTAGTTCCTTGTTGTTCAATCCATTGAATAATAGCAGTTCGCTCGTAAACATAACTATTTGAAGCAAAAACAGGATCTCGACAAACATTCAGTGTAATTGGACAAATGAAGTCATGATCTTGTGTTAATATGGGAGAACTTGATGTTTTCTTCATGGATTTCGATCTATAGTTGCGTTAGAAAAGCAAAGGGCCGTTAGTTAATTGTAAAAAAAAGTATAAATAAAAATGTGAATATTTATTTGTACCATGTTATATATAGTATTTTTTTTTCATTCTTGTTTTTTTATTTTCATACGAGAATATTAACGAGAAAAAAAAAGTATGAACAAAAAATCATCAAGTGTTTTTCACACAGATTTATTCCATAGTTCTTTTCAACTATGAATTCAGTTTAATTTTTTTGAGACGTTTCAATTTCTTTGTATGATCTTATTTTAACGCTTGCTTTTAAAATCGACTTTTGTGCTTGTTGACAGACACATTAGCAATGAAATTAATATTCGAATCTTTATCGTATTTGTATATTTGAAAATATAAAGCTATATTGTTTTCTCCAGATGTATAACGCATGAAAATCTTCTCAAAGAAAGTTTTTTTTTTAAGTCATACTTCAAAATTGAAATCTTGAATATTGTATATCCACAAATAAATAGTATTTGCTGACATATTATGACAAGGCTCTTCTGTTCTTCATAACCTGATAAAAAGTAAAAAGTGATAACGTCCTTTGCATTGTCTTTGACATACTTACAGATGAAAAATGGATACACAAGTAAAACAACGTGTATGTGGCATTTTAGGAGGTTTAGCTTATGTTTCAACAGTTGATGTAAGTTATTGATTTAATATTCATTTTTAATATTTTATTTTTTCAAAAGTATTATAATCAAATGAATCAATTAGTTGGTAAATTTTTACCTGGCCATGGTAGTCGTATTCATATTGTTTCACTTGATATTTTTCAATATATTGATTTACTAAATAAAAATCAATTATCTGAAGTAGCTGAATTTCTTCTTGGAGGTGTTCATCAATTAGTCAAAAGTGGTATCGATTTTTTACTTATTTGTTCAAATACTGGTAAATACTTTCTCAGCATTTTTCTTAATCAACAAATTATGATTTAAGGTCATGTTGCTGTACCACGAATTATAGAATATTATCCTAAACTTGTTCTTCTACACATAAGTGATGCTGTAGCATTTTCAATTAAACAAAAAAATTTTAAAAAAGTACAAATTAAAAAAAGTTTTATAAAACATTGAAATTTATTTAATTATTTCTAGATTGGCTTTTTTGGATCAAAATTTGCCATGGTATCAAATAGTTGTGTTGTTGAACGTTTGATTGAACATGATTTAAACATTGTATTTCCACATAAAGATGAGATTGAACGTTTACATCAAATAATTGTTGATGAATTATCAAATAATATATTTACTGAAGAATCGAAAAATTTTTATGTAAAATGTATGCAACGTTTATATGATGAACAACAAGTTGAAGGAATTATTCTTGGTTGTACTGGTAAAATGACTACTTCATTATTACAATAAGATTTATTTTAAATATTTTTTTGTTTTTAGAAATTCCTCAACTTGTTAAACAAAGTGACCTTCCTCAAATACCTTTATTCGATTCAACACAATTACATGTAACTAACAAAAATACTTATTTATTTTTCATCTTCTTAACTTTTGTTTTTTTTATTCATTTGATAAATAGGTTCAATTAGCTGTTGATTATCAACTTGGTCGATATGATATTGAATCACTTTTACCAGCAAAAGTCAATAAAAATAATTGATAACTTATTTAAGTTAATATCATTGTTTTACAACCTTGTCTATCAACAGATACTGTTGTAATATCTTTTAATTTAATATAATAACTAACAAACCAATTTGTTTGTTTTCCAATATTTTTTAATGCATGACATTTATTAGCTGAAAATTTAAGAGCAACAATACCCATTTTAGATATATCATATTGATAATCTTCATATTTGTTTGTATCATCATCACTAATACGAAATTGATATTGACCTTGAAGTAAAATAAGTACTTCATCTGAAATACTGTTTTCATTGTCTTTATGTCGATGATTACCTCGTACAGCGTTGCTTTTCATCGAAACAAAATGAGCAGAGTGATCACGAGGTGGTACATAAAGTATGCCTTGACTTTCATTGAAATATATTTGTGAAGAAATATTTGAATAAGTAAACAAAGATGATTGTGGAAGACGAGATATATCAGCAAATGCTTGTTCAGAAACTGAATCAGATGAAAAATACCAATAAACAAGTAAAATAACAATTAATAATAACAAAACAAGATAAAAACGAGGTATACTCGTCAATGAATATGTAGATGTTTTAGTCTTGTGCATAATAATTATTTCAAATAGAAGGACGATGACGTATTATCCTGTTGTATATATCAATAGTGAATAATTAGAGTTAGAATAACTTTAAATTCGTGATGTGATCTTAATTTCTTTACTTTTAGAAGGAGAACGAGAGTCGTTGTTTGCTCTACCAGTTGTAATTCAATGAGAGCGAAAAAAAGTGTGTTTGATCATAGATGGCAGCTACAGGTAGTGATGATTCTTCGATTATTTCAAATTCAAAATGAATACAACTAAAACTTGAAGAAAGTACACATACTTATCCATATCTACAGTCACACCTTTATATCAACTCGTTTGTTCAGTATCACAAACATATCTTTCAGATATCATTATAACAATTGCGTTTGTCTACATCTTTTCTCTTATTAAGTCATCTATTTGTCTTGCTTTGCTATTCTTTATATTCGTTGACATTTCTTCTCATTTCACTGACAGGAAGTATCGATATACATTTATCAAATGGAGATAGTTAAAGATAAATGTATCATTCTTTTCCTTTTTCATTATTGCGTACAAATCATGATCGGAGTTTGTAAGAGCGCATCGTTTTGGATCACTTGGCGATGATTTGATGAAATGGTAGAGCAAAGAAAAACTTAGCCCTCCAAAAAGAGCAATAATAACAGTAGCTATGATTAAACTATGCGAACATTTAAATCATGAATATTCTTTGACTTGTGTGATTTGAAAAAAAAAACTTGAATAAAGTTCTTATCAATATGCATACACAGCATTTACCACGATATTGGATTTTGTACGTTGATTACGAATGGCAACATTAGCAGCCAGCTACTATCCTTCAAAAGTGCATGTATCATAAACAATTGAGTTGAAGCAGACTTAATTCTAATATGATTTTTCTGGAAAAACGAGAATGGAAAACTACTTGACCTTCATATAAATCTTCTAAACATCGTCTAATGTTAAATTATAGTCTCATATACTTGTCATATCAAATAAGGTCTTAATTATTAATTGAGTAAGATAGCAAATGTTCATAGCAAAATGACGATGGAGTCCATTTGCCATGACTAACGGAGATACATGAATAGAAAAATCTGATGTGCAACATAGCAATTATTAACAATAATTTTCATCTTCTATGTTTCTTATATAAAAGCTACTTCTACTTCGTGTCTATGTTTAGTCGTATTTAAGAACATACTGAGATATCTCACCAGCTTATTGTCTCACGGCGTTGTTCAAACGAGTTTTTGCAACTATGATTTTAATCATTTGTATTACATCGGCATCATTTACTGTTTTTTTTTTGCCACGTGCTTCAACTTGATAAGTGAAGCCATTGGTGAAATATTCAATCATTGATTTGTTACAAAGTTGTGAGAATTACAACATAAATATAATTTGGCTTGTGTTACAACTCAAAGTAGCCTCAAGCTCTAGATTTCATGCCATAGTCAAGTTATAGATGTCATTAGTGGCACAACGTCATCATTGAATATTCACTTCCTCGCTAAATCTTTCAAGTTAAAAAGACTTTTATTTCTGAATTAGAGCTTGAGATACTTAGCATATACCAAAATGTAACGTTTCCTTTTTTTTCTTGTCGTAGAAAACTTTGTCATAAGCTTTTGTGTACTGAAGCTAGTGATAATATTGGTTAGAAACTTCTACATTGAATAGAAAATCATGGTATTTCTATCACGAATCCAAAAGCAGTATGCATTGTAAAAACTTCCATTATAATATTCCTTCACAAAAACTTATTCCTATGAAACATTCTAATTTGAATTTTTGATAGAACTCATGTATGAGAAATTGAAACGTTTATCAAATAATGATTCATTTCAACATTGTCACAAAAAACAAGACTTTCGAATTGATGATTAGGTTAAAAGAAATTTCGCTAGATATTAAGTTTTATTACAATCAAAAAATATACACAGATTATGAATATTTCAATTGTAAATCATTTCATGCCGTTCATGTTGTGCAGAGGTATCCGAAAACCTTAACCAGTAAAGTTTAGAAAGATGACAAAATTACGGTTATTGCAGCTTGAATATTTCTGTAATCATTATCATAGCAGTACTCATGAAAAGAACATTTTTAGGTGTCTCATTAAGATTCAATAGTCTGTTATCAATTGATAGAGTGCCATTTTTTTTAGCATAAAAGCAGTAGTTCATTCATAAAGGTTTATCGTAAACTAATCAAAATGTAAAAAACGAATACAAATGTAGCTGTCTTTCAGTAATTGATTTTAGTCAATAAAAACGAATAGATAATGTTTATTTCATTAAAAGATTATTGTTTTATTTCAAAAGCACAACTGCACTGAATAGTTTCCTTGTATAAACTTACTTTTAACCAAAGATAAATATATATATATATATATGAACAAACGTTCTCACCAAAAACATTTTCTGATCAAAGTAAGTCTTGTACAGGATATAAAGACTAATGATTAAGATAGAGAAAGAATACAACATTTTAATGAATTTATGGTTCAGTATGATAAGTTGGAACAGTAGATAGTATATGTATCATGTACTTTATAAGCCTTCATTAATCACGTCTGTATATTGAGAAAAGATGTGCTAGAATTATGCACTTCGACAACATTATATTAACAAATTATATTGTTAGAAATAAGAACTTTTTTTTTTGTTTCAAATCATTCAACAGATAACTGAGTGTTGAATGTCATAATATGCCTTGAGATGCATAACGTTTATTTGTTAATGTTTCAGATTTGTTTACTATTGATCAAAGGCTATA